CCCGAAGCGCTGGCGCCGCCATCTTTTTTGACGAAAAATTGCTTTTTTTACCAAAAAAAGATGGCGGCGCCCAGCAACCAGCGGCCCGGTAAGGCTTGTTCCGCGGCCCGGTACCGGTCCGCGGACCGGCGGTTGGGGACCCCTGCTATAGAGCACTCCACACCATAACAAATAGACACAAGAACAGTTTTTTCCTGAACGCCATCACTCTGCTAAACAGATATTTCCCTCAACACTGTCAAACTATTTACTATTTACTATTTTACTGCATTACTATTACTATTAATCTTCTCATCATTCCTATCACCCATCTCCTCCCACTTATGACAGTATGACTATATTGCTTGTATCCTTATGATTTGTTTCCTAGTATGATTTGCTGTTTGCTGCAAGGAGAAAAATTGCTGGGAGGCAAGAGGCAGATTTTGTTTTCTTGTTTTCCTCCCCAAACACTAGGTGCATCTTATACTTTGGAGCGTCTTATACTCTGAAAAATACGGTGTGTGTTTGTGTTTGTGTGTGTGTTTGTGTGTGTGTGTGTGTGTGTATACACTTGGACTCCATTTGCTAATACCAAGGAATGTCTTTAAAATTCCCTTTATTTATTTCTAGCAACTTGAATATACTAAATTATAAAACAGAGAAGTTGGAAAAGTTGGATTAAAGGCTGAATTAATTTAAATGATTTAAAAGTTATCCCATGTGGATTTGGCATATCATGGTCCAAGAGCAAGCTAGCCTATCCACAACATTTAGCACTGCTAACATGGAAATAATTTGCTCTATTAGTAGTTCAGAATGGTATGAATCAGGTAAAAAGTCAACGCAGATTACAAAATTATTTTAGAAGAGATTGCACTGGAAAATGTTTAGTAAATGTATTTTATTATTTAGAATTACCTTAATAGGTGGATGCTGTGTATGGCAAAAAGCATTAATCTTCTTCTGCAGTGACATTTTCATCTCAGTTAATATGACACACTTTAAAAAAAATAGTCCAAACATAAATCTCAGATTAACACAAAGTTGATTATAACCTGTAACTTATAGATCAACAAATTTATCATATAATCCAGTTTCTTTTATCTACACCAAATAAAGATTTCTAACATTCAATTACTGTAATATGAATAAATATTTATGATGTAAAAATCTAACTCCTCAGCTAGATATGTCAGAAATACATTAATATACTTTTCACTTCTGCAATGAACTATTCTCTCTTTATTTGAATAATCCATCTTATATAATTCATCATTTCTTGGACTTGTGCCACTACCAGTTTTTACTGATCCTATGCTGTAATGGGGTTCTTACCAATTAAAATGCCTAAAAATGCCATACTTAATAAAAAAAATCTGTAACAGAGAGCTAGAGACTGGGGCTCCTCTGACTGAAACTGGTTCTATTCACCTCATGTCAGGAGACTAAACAGCTTTTTCAATAATTCTGAGCTCTTTCCATAGCATTTGTTACATTAAAAACCACCTAATTTTTGTGCATATGGTATTTATAACACAATCATAACCATTAAGATTGACTATGGAAGGTTCTAAGACTATTTTAAAAAGCTGATCCTAAACAATGCTTTAAAAAAGCCAATGCACAGGGAAGCCACACATAACTTAATATAAGCCTACAGAATATCTAAGATCCAGCAGTAAAGCATATAGGAAAAGTACTAAACTAAAGACCAGCAGGCTCCAGCTAAGGATAATCAGGAAATCTGGTGATGTAACTATATGCATATTAAGTTAGATATAAATGAAAATTTCTAAACTAAGCAGAATCCAGAAGGATTTGTAGCCATCAAAGATTATTTCAGGAAGACAATTGAAACATTAAAATATCAAAATACAAATTATATCCTTTAATGCTTATGTTATTTGATTCAAGTACGTGTGTGCAATTTCTGCATCATGACATAATAGCACAAGTTTCATCATGTTATCCTTCCTGATGGAACTTATGGCAGAATCAATAAATCTACATAAACATACACAAGCATACACCAACACATACCTATAATCATTTATATTCAATCAGGCATTTAAAAAAGATCCTTCTGAGGACATAGTATCTGCCATATTTAAGATACATCAGAATGTAGTTTTAAATGTTTTTTTCTTCAAAATACACATTACAATGCACACACTGTCCACTCGTGGTAGTGTGGCAAGACTCACAATCTCTATATTCGCATTAGACAGGTAAAGCAAATCATTTCCAAATCCTTTGCACATAATGCTGTGATGAGAAAAGGAGGAAGTCACCTTCCATTTGTACACAGAATTTGAATACTCAGAAATAATAGTTCTCCCTCTTCTTTTTATTACTTTTAAAAGAACTTTAAAGAAATACTTACCCTCCTTTTCCTTCTTAACCCAACTTCTCAAGTGTTTGAAAAACTGAGAAAAGGTTAGGTTTTCACTGTCTAAGCTTTTCCTTAAAAGGAGCAAAAGGAAGCACCAGAGTTTTAAATGCCTTCAATTTACAGAAATATTTCATTGCTGTTTTCAATATGTACAAAGCAGGAGTTTGGGGCAGGAGTGGATATTGTAGGCATCAAAGCTAATTAAATTGAAAATATTTCAAAAAGATACCACATACCTGATATTGTTTCAGAAAAGAAATATCAGTGATTTCATTTAATGGATCAGTTGATGACATCACTTGGACATAAGGATTCAGCTCTGCAATGTGATGCTGTGCTGCTTCAGCTCTGAAGTGCATTAATAATTGTATTATTAATAGGTGTGACATATAGGTTCTACCCTGCCTTCCGATGCATCTACCTGATCACAGTTACAATCCAGTTTTCAAGTTTAGCTCTATAGACATATTTGCAACAAATAATTATATCACCTGTTCTCATATATAATCCAGTCCATTAATATTTTCAACAAGGACAAAAACCCAACTAGCATTCATTCACATTACAAAAACCTTCCTAATTGAAGCAATTAGTTATTTAGAATATTACATTAACTCAATAAAGAGTAAATTTCAGAAATATATAATTTGATTAAGTTATACCTGAACAAATATTATCAGGACTTTCTGGTTGGTTACTTGTTTTATTTTACCTAAATTTGAATTAGCAAGGTGAAATTATACTTATCTTTCAAAGAATCAATTACACTATGTATTTTAATTATCATTTACAGAAAATGTTTTTAATATTCATTTTACCACATTACCCTCTAAACTGTTTCCAATAAGAGTAAGAGGGAAGTGTTTTGGATCTGGCGGTATCCTTTTATTTCCTGTACCCATCAACAAGACTTTAACACTACTTTTCATGGACTCAAACAGTACCTATAATATCTGTTCTGTAACTGATCTATTTTTCAATTAACACCTGGAAGAGAAGTAGCTCTTCCTGTTTTCCAGAACTTGTTTGCCAAGCACAAGCTGTTAAGTCTCAGTTTTTGACCTTAATAATTGTTACTTTCAATGTACCTCACATTTCGCTGCTGGAAACTTCACAAGGCAAATAACCTGTGCTATGGTGTGGCTTTCTTCATGGATTTGCATTATCAATCTGTCTTCTTTTCCTATTCTTCAAGGGTAAAATCTAAGCAAATGTTCCATTTCATTTCTGGTAAACCAGGGGTCTCCCATCTGTGGGCCACGGTGCACTACTGGGCTATGGCTTATTGACCATCAAGCTGCAGGTGTTTGCAGCCCCACTATCTATGAGTGCCCACAATGCGCCACGATTATCTGACCCACAAACATTAAAACCAGCAATAAGATTCCAGGGGTGGGGGAACGTAACTCAGCCCAAAAGAGGGGATACTTCTTTTAGGAGCAATGACAATTACAACAAGCCAGTTCTGAATCAGAATACAGAACATCTTGGAACTTCCTCTCAAAATAGCTCCTGCATGGTAACTGCTTCTTTTTTCTCTTAATCTGCTTATTTTACTGCCAAAGCTGGTTCTATGGCAATGCTACTCCCTGGTTTTGAATGAGAGCATTTAGGAATAACCCAAGATGACTTCTGGACAATCATGGACCCTCTGGAAATGATCAAAACGTCAGGGGCCTATACACCTTCCTGTCAGCACTTTAATCTTCTGAGCATTAACTTTCACTTTTTGGATTTATGGCTTCATTTTGATTTTTTTCTGCTTCAAAAGTTGATTAGCAGTTGAATGCTGATTTATTTTAACACCTTGTTGGATTCCGGTTGCTTTTTCTTTCTCTGTGATATACAGTATGTTATTCTGGATAACCTCTGTTTCCTCCCTCACTACGTGGCACTATTCGGGGAGGGGGGTTGTTGAAGAGGTTTTTACACTCCCACCATTGGATTTCTATATGTTTTGAATTTACAAAATATCTGGGGCTTATTTCTATAGAATCTTTCTTATAAATTTGGATTGAAATATAGAGGAAAACATATTTTCTTTGTTCTTTGTTCTCTGATCAAGTTTCACATATTAAAATGACTGAACAGTGGCTGAAAGGAGAATGAGAGAATATGCAGCTTCTAACCATATTTCTCTTTAAAAATCTTGATTTTGCAAAATAAGTTAGGGCATTAAACTTTGATTAAAGATACGCAAAGGACTTTGACCCAGTTCCAGACCAAAGAGACAATCTCAAGGCTGGAGAACTAATGAAGTGGATTTAATCTGTTGTACCAAAGTTTAAGTCTGCATATTCTTATAATATCAGAAATCTGACTGAAAGGGAAAGTGACAAATTCCTTTCTTCTATGAACACCGAGGGAAACTGGTAGGTTTATTATAATTAACTGTATTTGGTTTTTGATCAGAAGGTAGACTTATTCTGGAGACTGAATCTATTACATTTAATTAAGCAACAATTGATAAGAGATGGAATTAAGAAGCAAATGTGGATATTCGATCCAGGACAAATTATTTATAGCTTTTGGGATGATTTGGGATAGATCAGATGCCATGGTAAACTTTCTATAAGTGGATTACAATAAGAGTTTGTAACACAGTTTTAAAACTTTAATTTTGTTTTGTTTTAGTATTCTTCTTGTGAACTATTTTGTCACTAATATAGAAGACAAGTCAATAATTTCTTGCCTTGAACAATACAAACACAAACACACACACACACACACACACACACACACACAAGTTCTTCAGGAACTTTTTCTGCAGCAAGGCTTTCCTGAAGGTCTCTGCAATCCAGACCTCTATTATCGGCTGCAAGGCTCAGGAAAATCTTGTCAGCCTTGCCAACTACAGAAGAAATGGTCTGGCAAGGCAAGTGTTGGGGTGTGGGAGGCCTGGCTGCAACTGTCCGAAGGTAAGTAGTAGGGCAGCTCCACCCCTCCATCCCCAGCCTATCTGAATTTTTATCCATGCATCCTGGAGTGGGCAGGGTCTTAATTAGGGCTTATTTTGGGAAATAGGGCTTATATTGGGCGCACATGTAAAAACCTAGGACTTACTTTCAGGGTAGCAGGGCATATTTTTGGGGAAACACGGTATCTATATAATCATTCATAGATATAGATATAGATATATAGATATAGATATATAATATAGATATAGATATAATGTGTGTGTGTGTGTGTGTATAAAATCCATCTATTGATCGATCGATCGATCGATAGACAGATAAGATAATAAAGGACATCTCTTTTTCTAAACTTTGATTCTGATATAATTTATTTTAATGAAATCTTTAATGTATAAAGTTATGAATATTTTTCACAGCAAAGAAAATTGGCTATAAATTGGTTACCATAAATTACTATTCAAATATTAGTAAACACTACACACTAGATATTACTATTTAGAAAACAAATTGCTATAACTGCATCCTGCACACCAATGTAGCGTATAATTTTACCCACAATTTGGAAATATGATCTCATTGATATTCTTCGGTAGATATAAAAATATAGCTTGGATAGAGGTCATACAAGGATTGCAATAATTTTGAAGACCGGACCATGAAGTGAATTTTTAAACACAATGGTAAAATCTGTCAATATAGATAACATACATTTATTTGCTCACAATATTTTAAACATTGTACAGACCTGTTCCTTACATTTAGAACATCATCTTCACAAGCAAAGAAATTTGTTCCTAAATCCCATGTCTTGCATTGTTTGGTATCATGGATAGTGAGAGCCTTGAAATAATATAAGAAAGTAATAAAGTATATTTGAAGTAACAGTGATGCAACATCATAAATATATACACCACCACACATTTATCATGCCTATGAATTATAATTAGTTTTTGACTTACAACCGGTGACTTAATGACCATTCAAAGTTGTGAGGTATTCAAAAAAAGTTATTTACAATCCATTCTCAAAGTTACCACTGTTATAATACCTCTGAAGTCACATGATCACATTTCAGGCATTTGGCAAACAGATTGCATTAATGACTGATGGCAGTGTCCCATGGTGAGGTATTCAAAAAGAGCATTGTCTTACCTGAATGCTTCTTCTCAGCACAGTGATGGAGAATCCATGAATGGTTGACACATACCTTTCTGCCCGGAGACTGAGTCCATAATCTTTGCCACACCTCTTGTCAACTGTCACTTTCCCCAATTCACGATGAAGGTGCAGCAATCTGAAGGACTCCTTGGTGGCATTGGCTCTTCCAGTGGTCCTGTGCTGGACAAAGGACATGACTGCCTCCCAGAGAGGGAGTGGATTCTCCATCGCCATGCTGAGAAGAAGCATTCAGGTAAGACAACACTCTTTCTCCAGCACGACAATTGGATAGTCCACAGATGGGACATATCAAAGCCTTGTGTCCATATGGGTGTGGATTTTGGTCCTGAGTCTCCCTAGCTACATGCAGTAATTGAAGTACCCACCTCCCAAACACAGCCTCATCTGACGCAAAAGCATCCAACTTATAGTGTTGCACAAAGGGAGATGGTGAGGACCATGTTGCTGCCCTGCAGATCTCTTCGATCAAAGCGTTCATCACCCATGTGGCTGTGATTGCAGCGCTTCGAGTAAAATGGGTGGTTAATGGTCTGGGGACCGGAATCAACTGTGTCTCGTAGGCCTTTGCAATACACACCTTTATCCAACGGCCTATGGTCAATGAAGTGACCTTTGAACCCAGAGAGGAAGATTGAAACGAGACAGTGATTTGGATTTTCGGTAAGGCAAAGTCCATTTTATGTACCTGCATAAGGCCTGTCATACATCCAGAGTGTGCCATCTCTGTTCCAGCAGATGGGAAGGACCTGGAAAGAAGTTTGGCAACACTATCTCCTGGGCCCGGTGGAACCAGGAGTTGATCTTGGGGACGAAGGAGGGATCCCAATGTAGAACCACCCTGTCTGCGTGGAAGGTACAGAGTTTCTCTCTTACAGAGAGAGCGGCCAATTCCGAGATTCACCTGGCCAATGTGATGGCAACTAAAAAGACAACCTTGAAAGACAAAAATTGCAGACTCGTAGACCTGAGAGGCTCAAAGGGTGGTAAGGTAAGGGCATGTAAAAGCTTAGCTAAATCCCAGGTTGGATATCTGTGAACAACAGGTGGCTTTAAATTAACCGCCCACCTTAAAAAGGAGTGCACCACTGGATGGTGTGCTATGGAGTCTAAGTCCCTGTAATTCAATACTGAAGACAAGGCTGCTACTTGTCTTTGGATAGTATTAGGGGCTGACCCTTTATCTAGATCCTCTTGCAAGAAGTCCAGGATTTGAGGGATGGAAACTGATGTGAAAAATTGTCCCTCATCAGGATCCGCCTCTCAAGTGCCAGGTGGTCAATTAGAGCCACTGAGACTCCGAGTGGACCAAGACCCCCGGCTGAGAGAGACCCTGTCTTGAGGGATTCTCCAAGGCTGGCACACAGAGAGACTGAGGAGGTCTGCATACCATGGCCGTCTGAGCCAATGGGGTGCGATGAGCAAGAGCTCTGCCTGCTCCACGAGAAGTTTCCTGATCATTCCCGGTATGATGGGGAGGGGAGGGAATGCATACAACAGGCCCTTGGGCCATAGACAGTGAAGGGCATTGACTCCTTCTGCTCCCGGAGTTGGAAACCTTGTGAAGTATCTGGGCAGTTGCGAGTTAGTTGGGGTGGTGAATAAGTCCAGGACTGGACAGCTGAACCTCTGGCATAGTTCCTGGAAGATGTCTGGGTGAAGTCGCCAGAGTGGTCTACTGTGCTCCAGCTGAGAAAGTCTGCCTGCACATTTGCCAGCCCCGAGATGTGTTCCGCCTTGATGGAACTCAGGTGAGTCTCTGCCCAGAGAAATAGGTGGTTCACCTTGCGCACGAGAGACCTCGAATGGGTACCCCCCTGGTGGTTGAGATGTGCTTTTGCGGCCACATTGTCTGTCAAGATTAATAGGTATTGTCCCTCTACTGTGGCTTCGAAGTGACGAAGGGTGAAGTGAATAGCTCGGAGCTCCAACCAGTTGATGTTGTTCTTCAGGTCTGCCTGAGACCATTGTCCTTGAGCCAGTTGCTGCTGGAGATGGGCTCCCCATCCAAACAGGCTGGCATCTGAGGTCAAGGTCAGGCGGCTGGGCTCCTTGAACAGTGTCCCCCTGGCTATTGCTGAGGGACCTGAGGGTTTCCAATGGGACCCTGACTTGGCACTGGAATTGCTGCTTCCCGTTCTCTGGAATGGTAGGAGCAACCATTGCAAAGTCCTTAGGTGCAATTGGGCCCATGGAACAATGGCTATACACAAGACTATCTTTCCTAGGAGCTGAGAGAGAACTGCCATAACAAGGCATTACATCCTGATTTGAGTGACTAAGGATTTGATGCTGTCTTGTCACTCCTGGGAAAGAGCTTGGTGTCTATCACTGCTCCTAAATGGAGCAGTCGGGTGGTAGGTATCAGATGACTTTTCTGAAAGTTTATTGAAAATCCGTGTTCCTGGAGAACACTGATTGTCATCTCCAGATCCTCCTGAGCAAGCTGGGGTAAGTCGACTGGATGAGAATATCGTCCAGGTAGCACTGGAGGCGCACTGGGATAGTTCTGAGGTGCGCAGCCAGTGCTGCCAGGATCTTTGTGAGGACCTGGAAGCCGAGGCTAGACCGAACGGTAGAGCTCTGTACTGGAAATGGTGATCCGAGTAACAGAACCTGAAGGACCATTGGTGCCGGGGATGGATGGGGATATGGAGGTATGCCTCTTTCAAATCGATGGATGACAGGAGGTCACTCTCCCTGATGCTGTCCAAGATTGACTGCAGAGAGTGCATTTTGAACCTCTTGTACATCAAATGGACGTTTAACCTTTTGAGGTCCAGAATTGGTCTCCACACCACCACCACCCCGAGGATTCGGAACAAGGAAAACAATCAAGTAAAATCCGTGCCCCTGTTGATCTTTTGGGACTGGCTCAATGGCCTGGATGTCCAGGAGATGTTAAATCACCTTGTCCATGAAATCCCTCTTGATGGATTTCCTGGAGGTGGGACAGCGGATAAAGTGCCTCAGGAGAGAAATTCCAGCATTAAGCCGAATCTTAAGAGTATTCAGAACCCACAAATCTGAAGTCATCTTCTCCCACTGGTGAGCAAATAGTTAGCCACCCGCCAATGGGGGGAGAGCTCTGGCAGTCACTTGAAGCAGCGAAAGGGGCGCCCTCCCCTCTGCACGAAAGAGCCACTTGGCCTGAGGTTGCTGATGTTGTCTGAACCTATCCCTAAAGGTCCTGTTGGTCAGACCTGGGGGGGGGGGAAGGGTGCTGAAAGGAGGAGAGATCGGAAACATTATCCAGCTGACAAAAAAAATACCAATGCCTGTAAAGCAAAGCCCGCCCATCAGCCCTCCTAGTGACAGAAGACAAGACTTTACGCTTGTCCTTATTCTCCGTTAGGAATGGGTTCAAGGCCTCTCTGAAGAGAAAAGAACCCTTATAGGGAGCAGAAGCCAACCTCCATTTGATTTTGGCATCAGCCTGCCATTGGCGAAGCCATAAAAGTCTGTGGGAAGTGTTGTTAGAGGCAAGAGCCCTAGAGGGGGAATGGGCAGCATGCAATGAGGAGTCAGCCGAAAAGTCGGCTGCTGCCACCAGTTTATTAATGTCTTGGTGAATGCATGTCTCCTCTGGAGGAACCCTCACCTGTAACTCCTTGAGCCAAAGTAAGGAGGTCCTTACGAAAAAGGAGGTGGCAGTGGCCGCCTTAACTGCCCAGGCGTTTGCTAAGTGTGTCCAGTGGAAATTTATTTCTGCCTTCCTTTCCTCAGCCTTCAGAGCCTCAGCAATGTCTCCAGAGACCATTGAGGGGGAAACAAGGAAGGCCAGAGGGGTCATCCACTGAAGGCAACTCCAAGGTGTCTGACAAAGAAGAGCCATATTAAAATACCTCCTGTCATTGCTATCCAGCTTGAGAAATGTACCAGGCTGGTTCCACTGTCTCTGAACTACTTCAAGGAAGAACCTGGGGCAGGGGATGTTTTCCTGCGTAATAACAGGTTCAGAGAACTGAGCCTTGTCTGACATCTGAGGACCCGATGGTTCCACAGGTGTGGTTGAAGTAGTGCCAATCTGGGCAGTGGCCTTGGCTTTATGCAGGAGGGACTTGAACAGCACTGGACTGAAGAGTTCAGTGAAAGGAGAAGAGTCAGGGGCAAGATCAAGGTCATCATCCGAGAACCCTTGCTCCGTGTGGTCCACTTCCTCTAAGACAGATGCCCCGCTTCTGACTGAGTGTGCTTCTGACTGAGTGTTCGGGAGATGAAGCACCATGTGACTGCCCAGCCTCCCTAGTATACATATAGTGATGTGACTGCTGAGGAGGGGGTTCAGAGGTAACAGAAGCAGCACGACTCCCAAGATGTAGGGTATTGGCTACTCCCTGGGAGATAGCTTGTGAAATGAGGAATTTGAGTTCCTCAGATAGACCAGTCCTCTGCCTATCAATTGGGTGGAGCCCCACCGCAATGGGAGTAAAAGTTGCCTCAGGGGTGAGAGTCCTCTCTCTAACATGGGGATTAGCACCTTCAGAAACCCTACAGTCAAAGGGAAACTGTCTGACCTTCATTTGGAAAAAGAGAAAAATGTTCCCTTGTTGCCCTCTGGTGATCAGCTCATAGGAACTGCAACACTAGTCTGCAAAGCTGGCTGTGGGAGCGGGGATAACTGCTTCAGTCAAGGAAAGAGATGCAATACTTTCCTGCTGAGCCTTCTGCACTCTGGAAATTTGTTTCTCCAGAGCCCTCATTCTTCTGTCACCATCCTTCTCTTCAGCTCTAGAAGGCTTTCTAGAGTAGATAGCCTTGGCTCTAATCTTGCCAGCTGCCTCCTGGTTGGCTGATCTACCTTTTCTGGAGCTGGATCTCTTGTTGGGAGAAGAGGCTTCTTGCCCTGCCATGCTGCCAGCCGACAGAAGCTGTTCAGCCATTTTGATAGCTTATTTAGCCCAGGAGAAGTTCTGCTTTCCAAAGAAAAAAAGGCTGCTGCCTGCCTGAATGGCAGTTTCTCCCTTTTAAAATGGGGCTAAGTTGCAATGGGCTCAGTGGCAGCAAGCCAGCACACAATCCCTATAGCCACGCTTCTCTCCAAGCTGTGAGACTAATGAAGAGCTGATTTGATGACTGTGACAGCTGAGAGTCCCTGAGAGGGCTGGCAGTCAGCCTGGGACTGAAAGTAAGCGGATCGCCGAGAAACCGCTAAGCCGCAAGGTCGTAAGATCAAAAAGCCCCAAAAACAGCTGAGAAGTGGCTGCAGCACTTCAAAATAGCAGCGCCTGGCTAGGCGTCAGGTAAGCAGCAGGCTGCCCTCGCACGGGAAAATTACTCCTTTCAAAGCTGCGAGGCTGGCGACTAACCATGGCTATAGCAAACGACGGGGGGGGGGGGGGAATAAAAAACCTCTGTAGCACTTTAAAAGTGCTGCGAATCAAAGCTGACAGTGGGAAAAAATCTTCAAATTTGAATTTTCAGCATTTCTGATTGAAGAACTACAAGCCAATCTTTGCCATGGCCTCTTAGGGCAAGACTGAGTCGTGAACTGGGGAAAGTGACAGTTGACAAGGGGTGTGGCAAAGATTATGGTCTCTGGGCAGAAAGGCATGTGTCAACCATCCATGGATTCTCCAATCGTTGTGCTGGAGAAAAAGTTATTTACAATCCATTCTCAAAGTTACCACTGTTACAATATCTCTGAAGTCACATGATTACATTTCAGGCATTTGGCAAACAGATTGCATTAATGACTGATGGCACTGTCCTACAGTCACATGGTCAAGTTTTACAACTTTTTTGTCATTTTTGGCAAACAGCATTTGGGATTCAGATTTAAGGCCACGTGATTTGCTTAATGACCATGATGATTTACTTAAGGACCATTGTAAAAATGATCATGGTGACTCGACTTATGACCATAACAATTTATAATCAAAATTTTGAGATTATGAGACAACCAAATAACTTTATTAAGGACTATGATCAGCCTTTATAGTAAAAATATAGAGATAATTTGACATAACAATTCATTATAGAGAAAGGGTAAAAAAAAAAAGAATAATTAAGCAACATATTTAATTAAGTTTTGCACAGTTTTGTATTTTGATGAAGATATTTGGCCACCTTATATGTGGGTGCAGGGTTAGAAACTCTTAAAAATAGTAAACATAATATTTATCACTGTGACTTTTGAATTTAGAAATTATTGGGATGATTAAAACACCATATGAAGATATGAACAAGAGTTTCTACCTCCCTAGATCCACAAGGGCACAGTCTCTGTAAATAAGGAGTCCAATGAAATCCTCCCACCAGTAAAGTAGATGAGAGGCATCAAAGTAAGCTCTGGAAAAGGCCTGTTTATATTTGTTTAGGATTAGATTATACCATTGATTTTAATAATCAATGACCTTGATTATCCCTATTATTGTTGACTTGGCCTTTTCCAGACTTAGTTGGCCTAAATCATGTATGTCAAGCTCAAGGCCCATGATGTGGTCGGATCCGGCCTGGTCAACCATCCTGGAAATGGTAAGGAGCCAGCCCACATCACTTCAGCCCATACCATACCATTCTGGTAGGTGCATATATGCGTAGGAGGCAGCAAGTGCCCACTTGCACAGTCTCGGCCCATTCCATCCCAGCACATGAGTCTCCATGATGGGATGGGAAGGGCCGAGCCGGGCCAAAGCAACATGGGCCGGTCCCTTACTATTTCCAGGACAGCTGTATTTACTGGCTTTTCAAATGTGTGTGCGCGGGGGTGGAAGGTGTCCACCAGCAGGGGTTCAGCAGCTGGCCCCCCAAAAAGCAGGTGTGGCAGTTGCAGCACCAGCAGAAGGCAGAGTCGTGGGGGAGACATGTGATGCAGACCACCGGACACACCTGCTCCATCCCATATGGTGTCCAGCAGGTTGGACCGCATGTCTCTCCCCTGGGCCTCTGGCAGAAGTCAGGCAAAACAATGTCCTGGGACCTGTGAAACCAGGTGTTAACCTTCGGAATAAATGAGGGGTCCAGATGAAGAACAACCCTATCATCGTGAAAGGAACAAAGGTCCTGTCTGATGGAAAGCGCAGCAAGCTCGGAAACCCTCCTGGCAGAAGTGATGGCAACAAGGAACACTACCTTCAGAGTCAGGAAACGGAGAGACACTGTTCTAAGGGGTTCAAAGGGGGGCTTTGTAAGGGCATTAAGGACCATATGAAGGTCCCAAGAAGGATACCTGTGAACCACCGGAGGGTGCAGGTTGGAAGCCCCTTTCAAAAACCTCTGGCTATTGTTGCCACCATGGGCCAAGACAAGGTGAGGAGGGTGTGGGGTGACTCCTGCCAGACATCATCAGCCCGCCTATTCCACCTATCTGTTTTGGCTGGCAATTGGAGAGGTCACCACTGGTCATCTCCTCCGTCCCCTCATGGGTCTTGCCCTTGGCCCGCAAATGAAGCGTGTTCCCCTTGCGCACCTGACGCATCTTGGCATTGCTGTGGGCTGCTGCCACCACCAAGGCTGCCAGTAACTCAGACGGTCCATTAGGCTGTTATCATCACCGCCTGGAGCACCAGGCCTACCCAGCACGATGTCTTGTGACATTTATATTTTTTAGTCCTATATATATGCATCTTAGAATCAAGATACTAATTTTTTAGTATTTTGCTGGTGTTTGTGTGAAATTCATGACACTCTCATTAGTTTTTAGGGAAGCATTAGCAAATACTTTAAAATAAACATATACTAAATATTTATTCTTAAAAATTAGAATGTTTTTCTTCTTACCTTTATTCCTGCCAGAACTATGTTCTTAGCTGAAAAGTGAAGACAATTCTCTTATCAAAAGAAAACATAAAGTACAGTGTAACAATATAGATAAACATCCTGTGCAATGCAATGTTCCTCATATTGTCAGTCTAAGGTTGCCAGGTCCAGCTGAAACTTGTACTGAAGATGTGACTCTCTCAATCGATATGTGCATGTGTTATATTTCTATGCACAGATCTGCTAAAAGCTAATTTTCACTCAAGAGTAATGAAAAAGGAAAAAAACATTAATAACTACATCTTAAATTAAGAGCATAAAGTAAGATGGCCAATTAACTGATGCACATCTATTTATACCAACAATTATATTTACACAATTGAAGCCATGTCAAGACTCAGTTGCTATAGAATTTTTGCCATATTTTACATTATTCCTTTTAACATTTTTCTTCCTCCTTGGAATAGAGTGATTATTAAATAATTTGTTAATTATAATTCTACTTTAATTAAATATTACAAGGATTTGTATTCTACTAGTATACTTAAGGGGGCACAATGGCTCAGCACTTAAAGACGTTGAGCTTGTCAGCTAGAATACTGACAGACTGGGTTCAAGACCCAAACACCACATGATAGGGTGAGCTCCAATTACTTGCCCCAGTTCCTGCCAACTAGCAATTCAAAAGCTTGCAAACTCTAGTAGATAAATAGGTACTACTTTGGTGTGAAGTAATAGTGTTCTATGTGACTCAGCATATAGTCATACCAGCCACACGACCATTAGAGTGTCTTCAGACAATACTGGTGGCTCTTGGCTAGGAAACAGAGATGAGCACTGCCCCCTAAAGTTGGACATGACTCCCTTTAGTACATTTAATATATTAGAACACTTTATAAATATAAGTAATGACTTTATTACTATAAAAGGCTATTGCTAATGTTTATGCAACACCTCCCCCCACGCGTTGTAGGTTTAAAAGAAATTTTAAAAAATAGATTAAGAAGATTTAAAAGAAGTTTGAGATATAGATTTAGGAATATAAAAAAATTCCATGAAGAGGCAAATACTATGGAAATTAGATGGCTTTTTATCTGCTTCAATACAAGAGATTGCTGGCATTTAACACTGGTTACAAATGTTTGAAGGGCTGCGATCAGAAAGGACCATTTTGTCATATGTGGTAGATTGGGCGTTGGTAGAAGTTACCGTGAACACCCTTTCTATCTATCCTGCGAGAGAGCCCAGGATGGGTTGACTCCTTCCTATGACGTCATTTAGCTAAGTCTGTACTAAGATATAAAAGCCAGGCCCCGGGAGAGACCCCAGCTTTGGCGAAGATACTTGACAGACTGAAAGGTGTCTCTGAAAGCCCAAAAATAAATACAGAAATATGTCTTACCCTCTCCGGACGAATCAAGGGAGGGGCTGGGCTCTCTCGCAGCATAGATAGAAAGGGCGTTCACAGTAACATCTACCAACGCCCATTCTCCTCCATGCTGCATTGAGAGCCCAGAATGGGACATACCAAAGCTTGCATGTCCACAGGCGGGTCCTTGTCCGGCTCATCACACCGACTGTGGAACCACTCGTTGAAGCACCCATCTGCCGAAGGCTGCAGTCGCCGAGGCAAAGGCATCCAGACGGTAGTGTCTGATGAAAGGATGTTTGGGTCGCCCAGGCAGCAGAAGTGGCCGTGCTTCTGGTAGAGTGCGCTGTCAGACCTCGGGGAACCGGAAGGGCCGCAGCTTTGTAGGCCTGCTCAATGTAAGACCTGACCCACCTAATAGTAGGAGAAGAGGCCTTGTGCCCCAAGTGAGAAGGGAAAAAGGAAATAAACATGGCTTCCGACTTCCTGAAGGAGGAAGTGTGCTTAATGTATATTCTAAGAGCTCTTCTTACGTCTAGCGTGTGCCACTGCCGCTCTAAGTCATGGTGCAGGAGCGGGCAGAAGTCAGGCAAAACAATGTCCTGGGACCTGTGAAACCAGGTGTTAACCTTCGGAATAAATGAGGGGTCCAGATGAAGAACAACCCTATCATCGTGAAAGGAACAAAGGTCCTGTCTGATGGAAAGCGCAGCAAGCTCGGAAACCCTCCTGGCAGAAGTGATGGCAACAAGGAACACTACCTTCAGAGTCAGGAAACGGAGAGACACTGTTCTAAGGGGTTCAAAGGGGGGCTTTGTAAGGGCATTAAGGACCATATGAAGGTCCCAAGAAGGATACCTGTGAACCACCGGAGGGTGCAGGTTGGAAGCCCCTTTCAAAAACCTCCTGACTGAAGTGTGACGGGATAAGGAAGGAAGCGAACCCCATGAAAGGACCGAGGAGAGGGCCGCAACCTGCCTGTGTAAGGTGTTGGGGGCCAAACCTTTCTCCAGCCCATGCTGAAGGAAGCTAAGAACTTCTGCCAACTGGGCTGAAGCAGGAGAAAGACCCTCCCTGAGGCACCATAGGGAAAAAGCCTTCCAGGGGGCATCATAGATGTGCCTTGTAGAAGGTTTGCGAGATGCCAGGATAGTGAGGATGACCCTTTCTGGAAGATCAGCCTCCTCTAGCCGCTGCCGCTCAAGTGCCACACAGTCAGCTTGAACCACTGGGGCTCTGGGTTGAGCAGGGCCCCCTGGTGAGGGGAGATTAAATGGGCTGGGATCCTCCAAGGAGAAGCCACCGATAGGTTGACCAGGTCCGCAAACCAGGGCCTCCTTGGCCAATAGGGTGCCAGGAGGAGGAGCTCCGCACGTTCCTCCAACATCTTCCGAATTACTGCTGGAATGATGGGAAATGGGGGAAAGGCGTAGAGGAGACCCTTGGGCCATCTGCACCAAGAGCATTGGTCCCCTCCGCTCCCTGGCAAGGAAACCTGGTGAAGAATCTGGTGACTTGGGCATTTTGGGGAGTGGAGAAAAGATCCACCTCCAGTGTTCCGAATCTGAGGGAAAGATCCCTGAATAGAGATGGAGGAATCGACCATTCTGCCTTGTCGACTAGGCTCCTGTTGAGCCAGTCAGCCTGGGAGTTGTCGACCCCGCAGATGTGGTCCGCCGAGATCAACAACAGGTGTTTCTCTGCCCATAACCCCAACCGTAGAGCCTCTCTCATGAGGGCTTTGGACCTCGTCCCCCCTTGCCGGTTGACATGAGCCTTTGTGGCCATGTTGTCCGTAAGGACTGGAACATGAGAGGCGGTCATTAATTGCCTGAAATGCTTGAGAGCCAGAAAAATGGCTCTGAGCTCTAGCCAATTTATGGGAAGGGTCTGCTCTGCTCTGGACCAAACGCCCTGAGCTATCTGGCCCTGCATATGGGAACCCCAACCCAGGAGGCTGGCATCGGTGGTTATCACTAGCCTGTCTGGGTCCCTGAACAGGAGTCCCCTCCAGATTGATGGGGAATGCCACCAATTGAGAGATCTCCGGATTTGTGACAGGAGTGGGACCTTGATGGATGAGTGGCTGGTTCCTGCTCATTGGTAGGGAAGCAGGAACCATTGGAGGGGTCGGGAGTGGAGCCGAGCCCACGGGACAATGCCAACAGAGGAGACCATCTTCCCCAGAAGTTTGGACAACAGCGACAGGGGGACAAGTTGATGTTGCTGGATCTGGCTGATGATGTCTGCAAGGCTCGAGCTGGGGACAGGAAAACCTGGCACGACATGGTATCGATGACTGCTCCCAAGTGTTGCAATTTGGTTGTTGGAGAGAGCTGGCTCTTTTTGGTGTTGATGGAAAATCCGTGGCTCTGGAGACATGACAGGGTAATTTGCAGATCCCGATGGGCCGCATGGATGGAAGAGGATAGAATCAAAATGTCGTCCAAGTAGCATTGGATGCTCACTGGAATAGAACGCAGAGATGCCATCAATGCTGCCAGAACCTTTGTGAAGACCCTTGGAGCCGATGAGAAGCCGAAGGGAAGTGCTCGATACTGGTAATGGGTATTCTGATAACAGAAACGGAGAAACTGGCGATGATGAGAACAAATTGGGACACGGAGGTAAGCCTCAGTGAGATCAATGGAAGAGAGAAGGTCGCCCTCCCGAACGCTCTCTAAAATAGAATGCAGAGTCTGCATTTTAAATCGCCTGTTTTTTACAAATTGGTTGAGAAATTTTAGATCAAGGATGGCTCACCCCCCCCCCCCCCCCCGGCTTTGGGAATGATGAAAAGGCAAGAGTAAAGCCCACATCCCCGTTGAGAGGGGGGAACAGGTTGAATAGCCCTGATTTCAAGAAGGTGCTGAATGGCCTGATTCATGAGGGCTTGCCTGGAAATGTCCCGAGAGACAGGACAGATCAAAAAAATTTTGGCCAGTGGCGTTAGGAAGTCCAATTGTAACCCAGACCTAATAGAGCTGAACATCCAGGTGTCCGTCGTTGACTCCTCCCATTTGGAGGCAAAGAAGGCTAGGCGACCTCTGATGGGTGGGGAGAATGAGGGATTACTTAGAGAGACGGAAGGAACAACCCCCTCCCCCCCCCGAAAGGGCCGTTTACCAGTAGAAGGTTGTTGCCTGCCAGATGCTTCCGCCCGTTGGTCTTGGCGTTGGGAGTACGGCCTGTGAGAGCGGGGGAAGCGAGATGAGGTCTCCGTTCGGAAGGCAGAAGGGTGATAAGGAGCAGGGCGATAGTCGGCTTTCTTCCCAGAGGAAGAGAGAATTTTACGTTTATCTCTGGTTTCGATGAGATAAGGTTCCAGAGCATCGCCAAAAAGCTTATCGCCTGCGAATGGAACTGAAGCCAGCTTCCATTTTCGGCGTGACTCCGCCAGCCAATTTTGGAGCCATAAAAGTCTTCTTGCTGCTACAGAAGATGCCATGGCCTTGGATGCAAATTTGGCGGAATTGAGAGTGGCATCCGCAGTGAATTCCGCCACTGCGATAATCTTATTAAGGTGAGACCGAAGGTCAGAAGCAGGCAATCTATTCTGGAGTTGGCGCAGCCACCATATGGATGCCCTCATGAAAAAGGATGCTGCTGTTCAAACCCGAACAGCTCAAGCAGCAGCCTGGTGATTGCGCTTGAGGGTCTGTTCGGAGCATTTACCATCCGGTTTCAGGATATCTTCTGGCTCCGTGGGAATGCCAGAAGATGAGAACGAGGCCAGAACCGGAACGTCAACAGAAGGCACTGCCAGGACATTGTCCAGAGCTGCGCTGACATTGTAGAAATGCTTATCCAGAGAAGATGGGTGAGGACCTGCCGAAGGAGAAGCACACTGTTCCTTGACCATGTCCAGGAACAAAATGGGAGAAGGAAAAACCTCTGCATGCACTACAGGCTTGGAGAAGAGCGAATCCCCTTGGCTAGTGGGATTTCCTTGTGGCTAGGGAGCCCATTCCTCTGGTGACAGCCCGGCAGTGACCAAGGCCTTGCTGAGTAATGGCCTGAAGAGAAGAGGTTTGAAGACCAATGCAGAGGATGTCTGCTCTGGGCGAGAATCCTCTTCCTCTGAAAGATTTTGGTCAAAAATCTCACCCTCTTCACACTCTGAATGAGAAGAGTAACTGTGTTCAGATGGTGAAGGCCTTCCTTCCTCATCAACCTCCTCCCATTCTGGTAGAGAAGAATGGACCCTGAGGTCCTGGGGCCTGTGTAAATCAGGATGAGGCAAGGAACTTATAGATTGAGAAGGGAGAAGGGCCTGAACCCTTTCCAGAGGTTGAAGAAATTGCTTGAAGCCTTCAGCCAATCCCTGCCTAATGGCTAATGAGACAACATCTTGGATATCCCCTGGTCTATGCTCAAAGGTAGAGGCAGAAGGCCGAAGGCCCACTGCTGTGGGAGTGAATGTGGCTTCAGGAGTGAAGGTGGCTTCAGGCCTAGATTGAGGAAAGGTTCGAGGCCTGAAGGGAGGGGGAGGAGCATAGGGCACAGAAGCCTGTTGGAAATAAGGCCCAGATCTGCTTAGATCCTGAGGATCTGATTGTACTGCAAGAGCCTCTGGAAACCAGGATGGAGGATGGAAAGGCTCAGAGATAACTTCTCCTCCCCTGGGAGGGCTTAGTTGGGGTCCACGAGTATCACCTGAAACATGCTGTAGTTGCACTCCCTTCTATTGTATAGTACTGTTGAACTGCCTCTCTAGAGCTGCATGTCTGCACTTCTCTGCCCTCAATTCAGCCTGAGTTGCCTTCTTAGGGGCTAGAGCCTTAGCTTTGATTTTAGCAGCCACCTCCCTCTGGACTGATTGGGTGCGTTGCCTACGTCTTTTATTGGGCTTAAGAGACTGTTCCACTGGGGGTGGGGGGGAAGCTCTGCCTGAGCCTTATCTTGCTCCATTTGTAGAATAAAGGCTCTTGCGTTAGAAAGAAGCTGTTTTAGAAATTTTTTCTATTAAGCCCCTTAGGGTATAAATGGCCCCTGGGCTTACAAAATGGCCGCTCACCTTGTGGTGGAAGGCTTGAATCCATGATGGCCGCTGACTACAGGAAACAGGCTCCAAGATCGAAGAATCGCTCCTTAGGCTATACAGAGCCCTGTGCGAAGTCAGCAAGGGAAAACGAAGCAACCAGCCACACGATCAGCTGGCTTGTGCTCTTATCAGTTTGCCGATCGTTTTAACGATCGCTCCAAACCGCAGGCGTGGGGGAGGTCTACAGACACTGCCCAGCTTGCCTGCACAGAACTCTGTAACGCTGCTCCCAACGTTGCAGGAAAGAGAGCCCTGCTCTCCTGGAAGAGCAGCTGCCCTGGGAGCTGCTTGAAGCGACGAAAAAAGTACTGAAGATCGCTGGTAAGTGCTCTCTAACAGAAACGCTTTCAGAAACACAGCTACTGACTGAAAGGAGCTGAGTCAAAAGCTAGGGTCTCTCCCGGGGGCTGGCTTTTATATCTTAGTACAGATTCAGCTAAATGACGTCATAGGAAGGAGTCAACCCATCCTGGGCTCTCGATGCAGCATGGAGGAGAATTACAAAAAGTGACATCTTGTAATTCATGTAATAAATTTTTCCCAATTAAAAAAAAAAGCATAGGGAAAAAAGTTTATGTTGTTTATATTTTACTTGCTTTACAGGCTCTGGACAACTTAAAAAATTTCATTCACTTACCAATTTCCACTCCGAGCCCACCCATTCCACTTAGGAATACATGAGACTGAGCCATCTTGTGCATTGCTGTATCTCCAAGAACATATCTCTGCCGACTACATGCAAGTATTAAAAGAAAATCATTAATAATTATAATAACAGCATAAAGTAGTGCAATTTGCAAAATCTCTCACTTGTGCCAACTTCACAGAAGACAAAAATTTGATCTCAACAAATAACTTTTTACAAATTTTGGATATTATGCAATTTCTTAGAGAAATTAATATAGCATCCTATAATAATTTCAAAAGAACTTAATCGTGACCTTGCAAAAGTGCTGCAGCTGCCAAAAATACAGTCCTGGAATGCATCAACAGAGGAAAAATATCAACATAGAAGAAATGATAATACTAGCCTTGAAATACTGTGGCATGTTACAAAAAAAAAAAAAGCTTGAGACCCTAGAAAATGTGCAGAAAAGAGCAACAAAAATAATGAAGAGCCTGGAGTGTAAATCATATGAATGGCTGAGGGAAGTAGGTATGTCTAGCCTATTGAAGAGAAGGATTGGGGGGGGGGGCATGATCATTGTCTTCTATTAAGTGCCCTGATGGGCTGTCACAGAGAAAAGAATGACCTATTTTCCAAAGCCTGTGAGGGCAGAACAATTAGTAATGGGTGGAAGATTATTAAAGAGAGATACAACTTAGAAGTAAGGAGAAATTTTCTGACGATGAGAACAGTTAATCAATGGTTCCATTGCCTCCCAGAGTTCTGGGAGCTCCATCACTGGAAGTTTGACTGGGATGGTGGTATAAGGCTCTTGCCTTGAGCAGTCAGCTCCCTTCCAGTCCTATGTTCTATAACCTGCAGTCTTACACATCAGCAAGATGTTTATGTTTCGCTAACAATTTAAGCACTTTCTTCATTTCAATCAATATTGCTATGGCCTACAAATAGTGGGATTCCTTGGTTGTACATCTCTGGCTCTAGCCCTATGAAAGAAATGAGGTAATGCTCAAGTGTGAAAGTTCATAACATTAATTTAGTTTGGAATAAAACAGCATATATATGCTCATAATCTCCTAAATACAGTCAACATATCCCGGGGAGGGGACTTTCAACAGAAATTAGAAATTCTACGCAGAAAATGGATTATTAAAATAGAGAAAAGAGAACTATAAAACAATTCCATGGCACAGTTTTAAGAAGAAACATTTCAAAGAAATAACATTCTTTAAGCTGAGCTTAAAGTGCATGTTAATAAAATAAAGTTTATGATAGAAACAGTCTTACATTTATATTTAAATTCACTGTATAATCAAAAAAGTTTACTTGATATTAAAACTTAAATATTATCTATAGTTTATTAAAACAAATTAAACTTTTGTTAAACACTTACCTATACAAAGCATCATCAATCTCCATTGAATCTGCTGCCATTACTAAACACTTGCTTGGACTGGAAACAAAAAGACAATAGTTATTTTGCCAACAGATGACCTCCTACAATTTATGCTATTTCCTCAAGTGAGCAAATATCTATAAATGTATGAACTAAATAATTCACTGCTGAAACAAAAAGGTAACAGTTAAGGCTCTGAATGCCTTTGTTTTGCAACTCTATCAATATGGGAGTAGAGACTAAAATTTCCTTTTAAACATGCAATATGCGTGTTAGCAGATTATGAAGCAGTCACATAGGCTTTGATGAAAATATGGCTGCTTTACAGATTTAAAGAGACATGCTCTTTGAATTCTGTTTTGCACATCTTGCACATCCCTAAATTATGATTACTGTACATTCACTACATAAATAAAAATGAATAATTAAAAAATATATGTACCTTTAACTCCTTTTTACACAGATCTAAAAGTTTTTAATTAAATTTGTAATTACTGAATATGGAAATAAAAATAAGTCAAATTGTGGGTAAAGGAATTCATTACTTGTCAAAATTCCAAGTTTATTCCACAGAAATAAAGAAAAGTGTTATACACAGCTATTTGTTTTGCATAATTAGATATTTTTGTAAAATCAACAGTCGTCTATGGAGCAACCATATACAGCATTAATATTTTCCCATTTTCACTCAGAACTTGAGGATTCTTTAACAAATAACAATTGGTAAGTGCCATTATAGGCCATTATTATAATAAATGTAATTCTAAAAGCTATATTGCCTGTATATTACATTATACTTGAAATTTTCAATGTGAATTTTCAATTTCTGCTCAATTTCTGTCATATTTCATATTAGATCTGGCAGTAAATCTCCTTCCTATAAACTCTGCATTCAATAGCTATCCACAGAAGAATCTAGCATAGTTCGAATAGTTTTTACTATACAAAATATGATATATATGCACAATTCATCAGTTTACTGTAGAGGACAGGAATAAAGCTTTATTTACCTACAAAACAAGAGTTTGAAGTCTAGGCCTTTCTCTTCTATATTTTCAAATAAACAGATTCCAAACCATTCATTTCTTTTCATGAAGTTTGATCCCTTTTTGTATTTTCAAAATAGTTCTGTCTAATCTTAGCTCCTCCTAGTCAACTTCAATCCTTATACCAATCCTTTACCATCTTTCTTCCCACCTGGACTTGGATATGTCAAACATATTGTCCTGCCTTACAATTGAAGAGAATGAAGGGGAGTACTATCCCCTTCTTTCATTTCCATCATTGTCATAAACAGAAAAAATGCCTCCTAAGAAATGAAGCAGGGGTCCCCAACCACCGGTC